TGTCAAGGATTCATCCATATGTACAATTTCATACTCGGTCCACAGATTTATGAATCCAGCATAATATTCCTGAGTCTTCTTCTCCCCTTGAGTGTAGGAGAAGATCTTTGTTTCAATCTGATATTGTCTGGAAAGGTTAGATTGCTGATAGACCTTTTCCATATAATGAAACATCTCTTTTGTAGTCCTCAGGCTTCTATTGGAATAGAATAACCGTTTCAATAGATCCTAGAATCCAGGAAACTATCTTAGCATCACGTATCCTCCATTGTTTTAAGCCTTTGCTATCAGATTCACTGGGTTTGGGTGAGGAATCATTAATATGACCCCAGAGACCCTGCCCTTCAACATAAAACTGAAGGTGGAACTTCCACAAGGTGTAGTTACTTCCATCAAACCTCACAGCTAGGATATCCCTTTTGTCCGAAGCCATTTTACCAAGTACGAACCCACAGAAAAGAGATTGCATCAATATAGAAGGGAAAACAGGCCACAAACTGATGCCAAACCAATCTGATATCAAGACAGCAATAATAAGATACTCGGAGATAGAACAATCCAATTTGGAAGTGTTAGAACAGTAACAGTTTAAAAAAGGAAGGTACAGGATCGAAAATCAAGGAGAGATCAAAACCCTCCAACAACAGTCCCAATCAGCAAACAAAATTGAACAGAAATGAAGAATATGCAAGGGTGATACCAGATCTGTTGTTTCACTCTGATCTGATTAGGAAATCAAGAGATCTGATGAAAAGAGTGAGAAAACCCTCACGTTTTCTACAGAAAATCAGCAAAGAAAGGCTGATCAGAACAGCCCCAAATCTGCATTTATAACTTAAGAAGTGGAAACGAAAAAGAGCCTCTCCAGTCCTCTTATGAGAGCCTTGAAGCACCATATCACATATTCTCATCATGTCCAGTTGATCGAACCTGCTCTAATACCATGTCAGAGATAGGTACAAGAGAAAAAACCAAATGGAAAGGGTGTCTTAGTCACCAGTGCCCAAAAACGAATTGTATAATATACCCTTAGAGTACAAAAGGTGGGAAAGGACAATTTTGTTCTCCACAAGTACAAGAAAGAAGAAAGGAAAAGAACAATTATAATGTACATAAGATACACAATAAAATGGTTCTCCCACCAAGAGATCAGCCCAAAGATTCTCTACAATATTTTGTTTAAAATCACTTCTAGAGGGATTTATTGTTGCCTACAAGGTAAATCATGATCACCTTAATTCCTAAGATTTGGAGTAACCCAAAATGTGAAATAGGGAAAAATACCTAACTAGTGCCAATATTAGAGAGAAATATGGGTTGCTCATGGACACCCTAGGTTTCCACAAAACTAAAATCAATCACTTGAAAAATCCAAAATATCTAAAAAAGATCAAGTTCGGTGCACACCAAAAAAAAAGTAAAAAACAAGTGCCATATCCAAATGTGCTCAATTTCCAGTATAAGATCAACTGATCAAAACTCTTTTCGTGATTTTTGGGAAAATCTTCAAGACTTCTTCCTAGGCAACAAGAACCTTCAAACAAGCCTAAAAAAGTCCTCTTTAAACCAATCTATCTAATATGATTAATTAGAGAGAGAGAGAGAGAGAGAGAGAGAGTGAAATGTGCCATCCCTCTCATATATTTATGTTATCTCAGTTATACAAGACCACCCCATATAAAAAGAATAACCTTGGTTGTGTTTTGTGAGAAAAAAAACAGTTCTTATGCTTGGTGTTTGAAATTTCTATTTTCCACGGTCTCGTGAGGAATATATAGTTCTTAGCTGTTTGACCTAAAGCCTTTCCAGCCCTTCGTTTATTTTTAGAATCATCCCTGGACCCTTCCTTTCCCATCTTTACTCTCCTTGATTAAACCTTAGGTCATTAGGGTCCTATATTGGTTAGTATTAATTAAAAATTAGATGTTTGATTTTGGATATATGGGGCTGTTATAGAAAGTATTTAAAGATTTTTTGTTTTGATATTTGAATTGGGTGTGGATATGCATTTTAAATGGGTATAGAGTGTAATTTTTTTTCGAGGCAAAAGTTTTGACTTGAGAGACAATTGATATTACTTAGTAGACATTGGTTGCTTAAATTTATTATTAGCCCCTATTTTTCATTGTCATAGGTAAAACCAACTCTTTTTCCATTGCATGCTTTTTGTCATAATTGAGTTCATAATTTAAGCTGCTTGTGCAGGTCATTTGTGAATAATGTGTGGTATATCAAGATACTTTCTCCCGAGGATGTACAAAAACTGGGGAAGCAAGAGGTAGATGCTTTAAGCTCCAATGGAGATCAAAGGCATAGCAATAGTAGCTATGATGTTCGGAACTTTACATCTGGGATATCTTCTGTGGGATCTCTTGAATATTGATAATGATACAAAATGGTACATTGCTATATTCTTTTATGTTTTGTTTTATGCTTACATTTATGATTTTCTATTATTATTTGTAGAGGTACAGGGCTGAATGGGCCCTAGTATCTATTTTTGTAGTGTGTTATTTATTTGTTGTTAATGGGCCTGTTATTTCTGTTTGTAAGCTTACTTCAAGTTTCTGCTTAGTTGGCTGCCCACTCAAGGGCATACTTGTAATTAGCCTAATGAATGAAGATTAACAAAAGGATTAGAGAGGGGAGAGAGGAGATTGTCAAACTCTTCTTCTTCCTCTTCTTTTCTCCATCTTCTGTTGTATTGCTGTCATCGACTTTTGTTCTTCTTTTCTCTCTAATTTTAACCAAGTTTATATCAATTTTAGAGGACTGATTCACATCTTGGTATTAGAGCAGGTTTCTTTCTTCCTTATTTCTGTTTTTCTCTTTTCCCATACACCTATCGATTAGGAGAGTGTATGGATAGATAGGTTCTCTATAGTTCAAAGGATCTTTTGCCTAGTTGGTAAAGGGTTTGGAGAGTTGAAGTCTAGCCAAAAACTACCAAGAAGTGGTGCTGTATTTTTCTACCCAAAACCCTAGCCGATTAGAGAGTTTTGAAGTTATAGGTAAAGGGGAAGTTTTGGGTGTGGCGCTCAGTGCTTGGGAGGTGTATTTTGACTTCTAAAAGGGGGCGGTTCAGTTTTGGAAGAGATTGGGAAGCTCTGGTAGGAGCGCGGTTGTATCTACTCTCTTTCTTCCCGACAGCCGGGCGCAGTGAAACCCTAGTTTTCAAGCATCTGGTGCTGTTTTGACTTAAAGTAAGTTTATAAAGACCAAAATTCTAGTTTTTTGATTTCCGTTTGATTAATGGAGCAATATAGAAGTGAGTTCAAGTAGGTGCCGGTATCCGGGCTTGGCTCAGTAAATTCCGTTTTGATTGGTGTGACCACAATTAAGTTAGATGGAACCACCTACCTTGCTTGGGCACAATCTATATGGATTTATGTCTGTAGTAGAGGAAAATTAAGGTATCTCATAGGCAGTAAGGTGGAACTCGAAGAGACAGACCCTGAATTTGAGAAATGGATGCAGGAGAACTATACAGTCATAAGATGGTTGGTCAACTCTATGCAACCTCATATAAGTCAGCATTATCTTTGGATGTCTTCGGCCAAGGAGATTTGGGATAGTGTTTTGGAAACCTATTCATAGAAGTTGAATGTGCAAGAGCCTACAAGCTGACAAGTGATGTGAACAATCTGAGACAGGGGGAGAAGAGTGTAACAATCTACTACTCTATGCTGAAATCACTATGGCAGGAAATTGATGTTATGGAGACAGTTGTGTGGGAGAGTGCGAAGGATGCATTGTCTTTTAGGATGTTGGTGGAATGAAACAAGGTCTTTGAGTTTCTTATAGGACTCAACCCTGAGTTTGGCATTATTAGGCAGAATATTCTGGCCAAGGATGAGGTAACTCTTGCCCAGGCATATGCTATGGTAAGCAGTGAAGAGAGTAGGCGACAGGTTCAGTTACAGAGTCCACCTACAGATCACTTTGCACATGCTAGAATAAAGCCAAAGCGTCCAATCGAGAAGAAAGAGCTGATATGTGAATATTACAAGAAACCGAGGCATACTAAGGACACTTGTTGGAAGTTTCATCCAGATCTTCTACTAGACAGGTTTAAGAATAACAACAGTTTTAAGAAGACTGGTCAGACAGGAAAGGCTAAGATAGCTAATGTTGCCACGGTACTCGAAAGAGGGAACAAGGAGAGTGAAGAAAAGTCAACCATGGAATAGTTGGCAGCAGTGAAGGCAAATTTTGAAAAGTATAGAAGGTTGTTAAATCATTTGGAAACCATCGTCTCTACATCTCTTTTTAGGCAACACACCGTCATCATCCGCATTTCCTCACTCAGGTATTCGTGCTTCTGCAAACCATGCTTCAGCTTCAGGTAATCATAAACTCCCTTAGATCATTGATTCTAGTGCATCAGACCATATGGACCAACTTGTCTAACCTTTTTTGTTCATACCACCTTTTCTTTGGTAAAGAGAAAATATCTCTTGCTGATGGGTTTCTTGCTCCCATCTCTAGCAAGGGGGATATCAAGACCTCTGACACCCTTATTTTATCCTTTGTTCTTCATGTCCCCAAAATGCAGATCTTTTATCTATTAGCAGCTTAACTAAATCCATGAATTGTAGCATAATCTTCTTTGCTACTCAATTGTGGTTTTCAGGACTTGAAATCTCAAAGGATGATTGGGAGTGGCCATGAGGCGAATGGAATATACTTGTTGGACACACATAATAGGATTCTTGGACCATGTTATGTCATTTTTGGTTTGGTCATTTGTCTTTTTCTGCTTCGAGTCATTTGTTTCCAAATATGTTTAAGAGAGTGTCTTGATCGAGTCTTCATTTTGAGTCTTGTGAACTCGTAAAGCATTATAGACAATCTTATTCAGTAAGCAATAAAAGATCCATTTCTCCTTTTCATATTGTTCACTTTGATGTGTGGGGGCCATATCATTTGCCTACTATGGGGGGTTACAAGTACTTTATCCTTTTTATTGATGATTATTCTCATTACACTTGGATTTATCTCATGAAATCTCGGGATGCACCAACTATTGTGCAAAAATTTATGAACTTATCCTTGCCCAGTTTAGCACCCGGATCAAAATATTCCGTTCTGGTAATGCTAAGGAGTGTTTTGAGAAGAACCTCTCATCCTATCTTGAAAATTTTGGGGTTATTCATCAAAGTTCTTGGCTTCAAAACCCCTTTTAGCCTTCTCTTTTTGGATGAGGATCTCTTCTCTCTTCCTCTCCTTGTTTTTGGGTGCATCTGCTATGTGCATGTTGACAGCCATCAAAGGCACAAATTTGAACCTAAGGCTCGTAAATGTGTTTTTCTAGGATATGCCTCTACATAGAAGGGATATAGTTGTTTTGATCCGGTTAGTGTCACCCACTTTGTATCTCGGGATGTCACATTTGCTGAGTCTACTCCTTTCTTTAGTATTCCTCCTGAGGGGGAGCAATCTGAGGAACCCTTTGCTATGTCTCCAGTAGTTCATCTTCGTGTTCCTTTTGCGTCATCTGATGAGGTGTCCACTTCTCCCATCGGGCCTACGTCCAATATTCCTGCTCCACCTCGTCTTCCTATAATTCCTTCACGTCCTGTTCTCCCAAGGTGGTACCAAAGACACAGATTCAAGAATGGGCAAGTTGTTTTCGCTCTTGCTCCTTCCATCATTACTAAGGTAACTGGTTAGCCTTCATCTGACCCATCTACTTCTTTCCCATATCTCGATCTTCCTATTGCAGTTTGTAAGGGCAAGCAGAAGTGTGCAGCCCATTGTATCTCTGAACACTTGTCCTATAGCCTTCTATCCCCTACCTACTACTCTTTTCTTGCTTCTGTTTTTCTTCCCATGTGATACCTAGGTCTGTACTAGAAGCCCTATCTAAACCTGAATGGAGGGATGCTATCATGGCTGAATTGGATGCTTTGCATAAGAACTATACCTGGGATATTGTGGATTTGCCAGAAGGGAAGGAACCAGTGGCTTGTAAATGGGTATTTGCCATTAAATATTATTCTAATGGCTCTATTGAGAGGTTTAAGGCCAGATTGGTTGGTAAAGGCTACACTCAGATGTATGGCATTGACTATCTTGAGACCTTTGCTCCTATGGCCAAGATGACCTCAATCCGGGTTTTGTTGTCCCTAGTTGCTACTTTTGATTGGCCTTTCCACCAGTTTGATGTTAAAAATGCTTTCTTGAATGGAGACCTACATGAAGAGGTCTATATGCCTTTGCCTCCGGGAGTATATGGAAAGGAAATGCAAGGGAAGGTGTGTAAACAGTAGAAATCCATTAATGGTCTCAAACAGTCTCCTTGGGCCTGGTTTGAGAGATTCAGGGCTGCTCTTGTCTCATTTGGTTACACACAAATTCAATCTGACCATACCTTATTCTTAAAAAGAAGCGACTCTTTGGTGACCTTTCTGATAGTTTATGTTGATGACATTGTGGTCACGGGTAATGACACCCAAGAGGTTAGTAAACTCTAAAAGTTTCTTAACTCTGAATTTGAGATCAAGGATTTAGGAGATCTCAAGTATTTCTTGGGAATTGAAGTTGCTAGATCTAAGGATGGTATCTTCATTTCTCAATGCAAGTATGTCCTTGACCTCCTTGCAAAGACTGGTAAACTTGTTGCTAAACCAACCTCCACTTCTATTGATCCCAATCATAAACTTTCTACTACAGATAGTGAACTTTTATCTGATAGGGGAGTGTTTCAGAGACTGCTTGGGAAGTTGTTATATCTCTACATGACTTGACCGAATATTTCCTATGCAATGAGTGTTATTAGTCATTTTATGCATTCTCCTAGAGATACATATTTAGCTGCTGTAGAAAGAGTTTTGTGTTACGTGAAAGGTACTCCAGGGAAAGGTGTTCTGTTTGCCAAACATGGACACATGAAGCTGTATGCATACACTGATGCTGATTGGGCCAAATGTTTTGATGATAGGAGATCCACCTCGGGTTATTGTTCTTTGGTGGCAGGGAACATTGTTTCATGGAGGAGTAAGAAACAGTTTATAGTTGCCAGATCCTTTGCTGAAGCAGAATACATGGCAATGGCACATGGTGTGTCAGAATTACTGTGGCTGCGATCACTTTTAGAAGAATTGGGGGTTGACTATGAAAAGCCAATGATGCTCTACTGTGACAACCAGACAGCTATCAATATTGCACATAATCCTGTTCAACATGACAGAACTAAGCACATTGAGGTTTATAGACATTTTATACGGGAAAGAGTTTCCTCAGGAGAAATTTGCTTGCCATTTATTGCCTCAGAAGAACAGTTGGTTGATGTTTTGACCAAGGGAGTTCCAAGAGGGAAGCTGACACACTATTATAAGCAAGCTGGGCATGATTGACATCTATGCTCAGCTTGAGGGGGAGTGTAGAGACTAGGACGAATGAGCTAGTATCTATTCTTGTAGTGTGTTATTTATTTGTTGTTAATGGGCTTGTCTTTATTGGCCTGTTATTTCTTTTTGTAAGTTTATTTTAAGTTTCTGCTTAGCTGGCCGCCCACTTAAGGGCGTACTTGTAATTAGCCTAATGAATGAAGATTAACAAAAGGATTAGAGAGGGGAGAGTGGAGATTATTGAACTCTTCTTCTTCCTCTTCTTTTCTCCATCTTCCTTTGTAGTGCTGTCCTCTACTTTTCTTCTTCTTTTCTCTCTTATTTAAACTAAGTTTATATCAGTTTTAGAGGACTGATTCACATCTTTATTGGCCTTTTTTAGTGATTTGCACTCAATTTTATGCATGGTAGTATTGTACATTTTTTTGTTAGGCTCAGTTTTGCCTAAGTATTTTTACTTGAGACTCATGATTTCCATTTTGTCTTGGAGTTGGTGCACGTGCATGTCATAGGGTGTGTTGAGATATGGGCCTATTACTACTATTCTTTCTTTATATGTTTAATTTTTATTTGTTTGATGGATTGACTATGAAATGGGCCTTCTGGGCCACTTTTTATTCTTTATTGCTGCTACCTAACTAGGGGAAAACTTGTCATTTTATTCTTTTAATGACTAAATATAAGAGTTATTAGGGCAGCAGTTGTGCTCCACCATTGCTTCTCCCAATCTGTCTTCTTTCTTTGTTTTCTCATCTTCTGTTCTTGTTTCTTGTTACGTCTTACTTAATTTCTTGTTTATTAAATAAATATATCTTGAATATTATTGCTGTGGTAAATTACAAATTGGTTTCAGAGCAGGTTCCTCTTCTTTTTTCTCTCAATTGGATTCATGTTTCACTAAGATCAACAGTGAGCTCGAGTAATTGAAGAGGTTGGTCATTCTTATTACTACTGCCTGATTTTCTATGGACTGTTGGAGAAGCTTTTAGTTTGATTTGGTGTCTAGGAAGAGTTCCTAGAAATAGACATTGTAAAAACATGAAGAAAATCAGAGATTTCAAACTGGTTTATAATTGGAGACCTTGATAGGTTGTGGTATGGTGCTCAGTGATTGTTTAATCCATTTTACATTACTCTTGAGGTCACCATTTGTTCTCTGTTGTTATTGGTAAGCCTGTTAGAAGCAGATGCACTTTCTCCAGATATTTGGTGCTAGGGTTGGCGGTATCCTAAGAGATAGTAGAGATCCTGGACTGTTGGTTAAGAATAGTTGTTCTAATTGTTTATAGAGTTGATCTTGTCTTTTTTTTTTTTTGGGTTGAAATGTATTCTTTTGGAGGGGATTCCAAGCAGGGTGTAGATCCTTGTCGTAGCCTTGGAAGCTTTGGGTATACCCTAAGCTCACAAATTACTGGTTTACTACAATCAAGTTCAATGGGAATAATTATCTACAATGTACTTATTCTATATGCATGTTTATAGGTGGGCATGGTAAATTGGGATATCTTACCAGCTGAAATAGAGCTAGATCCCAGGATGCTGAGTATGGAATGTGGATATAGGAGAATATTTTGATGAGGTGCTAAGATCCAGTTGTGGTATTTACATGTCAGAGGAATTATGTACTTGATCTCCTTAAGGAGGTCGGTAAATTAGATATAAAGCTTGTTAATACTCGTTTTGAGTTAGGACACAGTTTGTTCTATGGAAGATTTATCGGTAAACCAAGGTATATATCAAAGATTAGTAGGTAAGCTATTCCAACTATGCATTATGTGGCTAGATATTGTTTATGAATTTATGGAGTGTAGTAAGCCAATATATGTGTCCCTTGTACTTTTCATTTTGCAGCAGTGGAGGGGATTTTTCACATACTTGAATGGGTACTCTATTGGAGGAAAATTGTATTCATAACATTCTCACATTTGAGTTGAGGTCTATAAAGATGTAGGTTGGGTTGGATCTCTAGATGACTGAGGATTGACATCAAAGTATTGTGCATTTGTAGGGGGGAATTTGGTGTCATGGAGTAAGAAACAAATAGTTGTTGATTGGTCTAGTGCAGAAGTCAAATGTCGAGCTATATGGCCCTTGGGGCATCTGAAGCAATTTCAATGTGTTCTCTTCTTGATGAGTTATAGATTCATATATAGATTATAGAACGTAGCATGTAGAGGTGGATAGACACTTCTCAATGTATCTTTAAACCCAATCTTTTTAGATTCAAATTCTTTTATGTATCAGTGATTGTTAGTTTTATTAATTATAAACAAAGAATGTGTGTAGAAATACACATGTGCTTGTCAAGCCTTGGCTTCCCTGCTACTTACCCCAAATCACCCTTAAGCAGTCATTGTAGTTGGTTGGCTCTCTTAGCTTGGGTTTCAAATGGTTACCCCGTAATACATGTTTCATGATATTTTTCAGTGTTGAGGCCAAGGTATGAACTAGTTTATGCCTATATTTTAGGAAATATAAATCTTCCCTTCCTAACAAAGGTATTTACTTATCTTCACATGGCTATTATGGGATCTATTGAGATAATTACTTCCTCTCGGAGTTTTGCATTTGCTGCTATGGGTGGATGTGAAAATAAAGGTGTTTGTTGTGATGTTTGAGAAGGTTGGATAGTACTAGGAAAACCTATTGGTTAGGTAGATGGCTTATAATTAGGGAAGGTCATGGAAGTGGTAGACTTGGACCTTAAGTGTACATGTTATGGATTGGATAGTTACATTGTCAACAACTATTTTGATCCACATTGCCACCTATATAGGCCAATCATGGTATGTTGAATGATGAGCGAGTGGGAAGTTCTAACTAGCCTAGTGACTTGTCACCATCTACTCCTATAGGTATTATAGGGAAAGAGACGTATGAGCAACTTGTTAATGCTTCCATCCATCGTAACATTACTACATTGGATGAGTTATGCCTTATCTTACTTCTAAGTCACCTAAATGATTTACTTGGGTCATTGACTCTGGAGATATAGATCAGCAAAGAAATACATTTAATATTTAAGTATTTGAAATTAAGTTACAGGTATATAGATCCCATAAGCACTAGGTTTCAAGTTTCAACAATGCCCAAAATAAGGATGGTTCATCAGCTCCCTGCTTGGCTAACACATCCGCCAACCCATTAGCTTCCCTTTTAACCCATCTAAAAGCAGAGTTAAATTTCTTTGCAAGTTGGTCAATCTATCTGAAAGTAAATCTGAGTTTCCAAGGTGCTGATACAATTTGCTTTGCCCAAGTTATGATAAGAAGGGAAGTGTCCTTCAATTTCCAACTCCCTTGCCCCTAATTCTTCAGCAAACTTCAGTCCTTGCAACAGTGCTTTTGATTCAGCCTGAGTTGAGTCACCAAAAGCAAAGGGTCCTGAGAACAAGGTCATCACTACTCCTTGATCGTTTCGAAAAACTCCCCCTATTCTTGCTCTTCCTGGATTGCCAAATGAACTACTCTTGTGGTTTCCACTCCATACTTATATTTTCTCTATGTGGTTCTGAGAGTGCCACTTCTCTCCAATTTCTTAAGAAGACATCTGTGGAAATATTCTTGAACAATTCCAAGGTTTTAACCCAATGTACTGATCTGATTTTAATGGCTTCAATCACCTCTTCTAAGGATTTACTTTTTCCATTGAAGATCCTCTGATTTCTCTCTTCCCAAATAGACCAAACCACAGTTGCATGTACTACCTTCCGCATACATCTTCCCCTTTTCTTCTGTTGCCTTCGGAAAGTTGGGTTGAAAAGGCTCACTATGTCTTGTGGGGGAGCCCATCTGCAACCAAAGAGAGAACAGAAATAGTCCCAAATACAAGAAACAAAAGAGCAAGAGAGAAGTGAGAAAGGGTTCCATCACAAGCTTTGAATAGAACACAAACAAGAGGAGAAATGCACATGTTTGGCCTTCTTTTCTCTAGCACGTTACAGGTGTTTACCTTCCCTAGGAACATTTCCCAGCAAAGAGCATGTACTTTAGGAAGAATTGGTTTGCACCATATTTCTCATACAGGGAAGTTTACCCCCACACCTTCTGACTGGGCAAGTATGTGGAAGAAAGAAGAACAGGAAAACAAGCCATTTGAAGCCCAAGTCCCTTCTGAAACCTAAGTCCCAATTTATCCGAATTTCTGAGGGTATAGATACCCCAGCTATATTTTCAGCCTTTAGGTTTGACAGAGAGTAAAGGTTAGGGAATTGCAAGCTAAGTGGTTGGTCTCCAAGCCAAAGTTCTTCCCAGAATAAAATCTTGTTCCCACACCCAACATCAAGTCAAATGAAGTTAGTAAATGAAGACAAGATTTCAGAGATTGCTTTGCAAGGGGAATTTGAAGCTGCATTAGCTGCTACTTTTGCATCCTTGCCATTGTCCGCTACACCATGAATGCTTTCAATGACCCTGTGCCACAGTCTATCTTCCTCACAGGGAAACCTCCACAACCATTTTCCTAGTAGAGCTGTATTCCTCTTCACTAAGTTCCCAACCCTTGCCCTCCCTAAATGAAAACTGCTTTATTACAAATAAAAGTTTAGTTTCTTGTACAGTTGCATGTGTCAATGAGTGTGTCTCTGCCAATTGCCCACAATTTAGGGTTTTGAACTTGTCTTGTAGAGACTGTATTAAGTCCTACTCTAGATGAGAATTCAATAAGAAAAAAAAAAACAGGGAATATAAGAGAAAGAAGAGAGAAATCGAAGAGAAGAGAATTCAGAAAAGAGTATGGCTCAATTACACATTGCCGCCCCACTCAGCTATTTATATTAGTAGTTTAAAACATAGTAAACTTACAATATTGCCCCTACTGCTAACATAAATAAACAGCAGCTGAAAAATAACTGAAATAACTAACTTACTGACACTACTAACATGCTAACAGCATCATAAATAAACATATTATTGCTCTACAACTCTACATATGATAATCGTGTAAATGGTTGAAGGCATTCATAATCAGTATGTAGACTAAAAGTTGTGAACCAATAGATAAACTTGGGTGGTTTATCCTGACAAGGTTAACATACTTATGCTGTCTTAAGGGAAGGAGCAGTTTGTCTCAACTGTTAGGGCTACCCTCAAGGCATAAGAATGGGTGTTTATGAAACGCTGAGCTGGACCACTTTCATATAGACTCTTGAACTTGAAGATGGTACTTTGTTGGGTATCAAACTTGTCTGCTATTGATATGTCAAACAGTGAGGTCCTTTTGGGATATAGCAATGGGTTTGGGTATCAAACTTGTCTGCTATTGAAGATGGTATCATATAGACCCTTAAAACTAAACTGGACATGTTTTGTTTAGGACCTACGGGTTTGGGCATTGATAGTGGCAAAGCCCAAACATTGACTGTTATACATTATTGGGTCTATTGTAGGCGCAACTACTTGGCAAAGGGTGTGAATTCGGCCATGTAGGTCCCAATCCCTTTAGGATTAGATCCAAGAGAAATGTGAGACTTCTATATTGGCTCTAATTAAATTCCTATGGATCCCACACCTAACAACTTCACTCTATCACAAAGCTCTATTATTTGTAGAAGGATTCTTGGACTGGTTTGTTAGGAAATAGAAAGTCCTAGTTTGACTATAACTTGCTAGCCTAACTAAAAGTCATGTTTGAATAGGAAAGTTATGGCTGAATTGGGAAAGCTCTTGTAGTCAACTTGTTGCCAATTGGATTTGGAGTTTGACCAAGGATTAAAGAAGCTCTTTGAGTGATGAAAACAAACCCTAGGTCGTCCAACCATCATCAAAGTACCTTTCCCTCAATTTTGCCTTCTAAGAGAAGCAAACTAGTGCTAAAACTTGCCATAATTGGTTTTCAGCAAAAGTTCTTTGGCACTACCATTGAACCAGCCCTATTTCTGCCAAGAATAGTGTTTTGACACCTTGGAAGATGTACAAAAAGTTGCTGATATCATCCTTCACATGAGAGAGCAAATTGCCAGTGCAAGAACAAGGGTTTCCACATGCATCCTCTTGCTGGGTTTGTGCGAGGCTTTGGAGGTTTGGGTATGAACACCGTAATAACTCACTGCACTTGTGGTGGGGCTCTCCTTCAGGTATGAGTGATTTTAGGTCTGAAACACTTTGGTCCTAACCCCTTGTTTCGTCCAATGGTTGGAGAATTTGTTTCTCCTAGTGAAATGTTTCAACATAGTAGTGGTTTTATTGGTTTGTTTTTAAATTGCAAACCATCTACGACCTGATGTGTTTCACCCTTTCCATTGAATTAGCACTTCATGAATATTTTGTAAGGGAGACGATAATCATGTCAAAGGGAGGAATTTTCATGTGCCAATTCTTGTCCTTGTAGTGGATACTGTTGTTTCTCCTATTGTAGTATTTTATCATCTAATGTGTCTAAAAAACTTTGGGTTTACCAAAGGTGACTGTTGAAGGGAGGAATTTTCGTGTATTTCGATTAGCACAAAATATGGAGACAAATTACAAAAATAAATTTGTAATAAAGAAAAATAAACAAGGGAATGAACTCTCTTTGATTTCTGCTCGATGACGTGAGCAACCTTTGATTAACGGTCGAATTTGGTGAAGACGAGGGTCGTCGACGTGTTTCTCGTACTTCTTGAAGTGTAGATGTAGATTTCCTTGATTTTGATGCTTTGGGAGATTAGATTTCTTCACTCCGGGCTTCGCGCTTGATCGACTGTGAAGGATTCTTCTCCAAGAAGGGCCCTTTTGCGGTGACCTGATCTTCTTGGGAGAGCTTGAATCCAAGTGTGTTGTTGAGAATGAAGAAGCTTTTCCCTTCTTTCTTCTCTCTTGATCTTATAGTTGTTGGAGTTTGCAGGAGCTTGTGGTTGCTTGCAATCCTCAAGTGTTGGTGTGTGAGAGCTTCTTGTAATGTGATTCTCCAAAAGGAACCCTCTTTCTTCCTAGGCAAGGCTATTTATAGCCAAGGATTAAGGCTGCCACCTCAGCCCACTTAGCTAACCAATCCATGTGAGTGGGGTGTTGGGTTAGCATTAACTCCTATACATGCACCATTATGTAGGAGTTAGTGGTCTTGCCAATGGGACCATCCTATTACAATAGGAGATGGGCCAGATTGGACCTAATACACTTGGATCCTTAGGCCACCAAGACATATTTTTGTAGACTTGGGCCTTGGGCCCATGGGGCCCATAATAATTCAGAGGTTGTCATGTAAACTAAACCCATTTATTTGGCTTAAAAATTCACACGTCTACAGTGACTTATAATAGCTCGTATTCCAGATCCTCCTCTACCATTAGAGTCTTGTAACTAAGCCCAAGTAACCTCTTGTATTTATTTATTTATTGTTGGTTGTTCCTGATGTTCCTACTAATTTCACTATTGCCTTTGTCCCTTGTGACCTTGATATCCCAATTGCATTATGAAAAAGAAATACAAATTCACTAGGTTTTTTTAATAAGTAATGAGTAAATATCATTAATATAAAAAGATAAAGTACATCCTGGATAGCTGTTAAGGCAACACCTATTAACCGAAGCAGAACAAGAACAAATACAATTTCAAATCTCCATCTCACAATTTTGTAACCCCACCATCTCCCATAACCTTTCTCCTAGATCTTCTCTTAAGCTGAGATAATTCAGTCAATATCACAATCCAATCTGCAACATATTTGCCAACAGCCGCCACCAGTTTGTCCACTTCCATTCCCTGCCTTCAAAGATTCTTCTGTTCCTTTATTTCCATATGTTCCAATAGATGGCAAATGGAGACAGCTCCAGATTATTCTAGCCTCTTTCCTCCCCTGATTCTTGGCTATGTAGAAAAGATTTCAGCAGGTGTCCTTGTGGAATTCCCAACTCCAAAGAGTGCCATGAAGAGTCTCCACAAAAACCCAGAAATTTACATGAAAAGAAGAGATGGAAAACAGATTTCTCATTTTCCTTATATAAAGCACATATTGGCTATGCTGAAACCCCTCGTCTTCAAGTGATCCACTGTCAACATGCAATCCATAGTCACCAGGCAAGCAAAAGCTTCCACCCTGGGGGTACTGGGTTACCCTAGACCCCACCAATTGAGTCAAATTCCATTTGGTTCCTGCACTAGGCTGAATAGCAGGATTTAACAGTAAGTTTTCCATTTGGGCATTCTTTCCACCATAATTCATCCTGGACTGAGCTGTTATCACCCTTTCCAGCTTCCTCCAGCAGATTTAAACACTCTTCTATCTCCCTGTCCAGGAGTGGTCGTCTGAATCTTGGACACCATACTATATATGCTGCCATTTCTTTCATAGCAGTTTGGAATACTCACTTCCGGTTCACACAGTCTGAAAAATCTTGGGCATAGCTCACACAATCTTCCCACCCGACTCCAGACTCCAGTCATTCTTCCAAATTTTTATTCTAGCTCCATTCCTAACTGCAAAGCTTGTTAGACTTCTGAACTCCTGATTAAAGTTCATTATTCCTTTCCATACACTCGCTTCATATGAACAGCTTACTTCCCTTGCTTCCCACCAAAATCCCATTACCCATATTTACTAACCACCACCCTCCTCCATAGAGAGGTCTCCCCCCTACTTAACCTAAATCTCCATATCCATTTCCCAAGTAAGGCTTTGTTAAAAAGTCTCACCCTCGTAAATCCCAAATTCACTTGTTTTGCTCATTCCATTTCCATATATCTTTATTATGATCATTTATCTCTAACATATCGTGTTTTTCTTTCCCCTCTCTCTTGTATTTCTATTTCTACTAGTGTTGTAGAAGCAATCTTTGGTCTTGTAAAGAGCTATAAAACAAGAGATGAATGCCTTGAGAATAATACTTGTTAGTTAGTGGATCTTCTTTAACCCAGGGAACCTATGGGTTGCATGTGGGTGCTGATGGTGAAATATTGGCCAGGGCTGATGGGTTCATTGAGATACAAGACTAGACTTGTGATAATGGATTATACCCAGACATATGGTATGGATTAACTAAGACTTGCTCTAGTAGCAAAAATGAATTCAATCTGGGTTCTCTCTCTCTCTCTCTCAACTTTTTATTATTGGTAATTATTTCACTTGGACGACAAAAATGCTTTCTTAAATGGAGATATACAAGAAGTCTACACTTGTTGATTCCACTTGGTTCTTGTGCTTCATGAAACGAAGGCAAAGTGTGACATGTTAGGGAACCAATTTATGAGCTGGAAGGACCAAGGCCTAGTTTGATTTGTTTAAGAGTGATATCAAAACATTGATTTCCCCCAATTGAGACAACTTATATGAGGATTTTTTTTTTTTTTGAATCAGTTTGGAAGGAGTACAAATACAAACATATAGAGTGCAAAGCCTTGTATTTTCTATTGTTTTGTATGTATTTATACTGTACATATTTGTATTTGTACTCTTTCCAAATTGAGCCTTTGCAACAGAAATTGAAATAAAGGATTTAGCCAATTTGAACTACTTTCATTGTATTTTATCAGTGGCAAGGTTCAAGAACGGAATACCTGTCTCTTGATGCGAATGTTTTGAATCTTTTTAAAGGAAACCGGAAAATGGCTGTTAAACCAAACGATACTTCATTTATTGCAAATCTTCATTTTTCAATTAGGGTGGGCTTCTAAAACACAAGAAAAGGCTTCAATCCAAAGAGTCTTGTACCTACTTCTAACCATTCTTGACATCTTTTACGTCATCAGTGTCATCAGTGTGATCAATCAAATCATGCTCCTCATTTGGAAGCTGCTAAGATGGAGTGGGCCTATTTAAAATGGTTCACCTAGTATGCAAATCTTGGGCAACTAAGAGTTATTTTACTTTTTTGAGAAGTAATCTAGTGTCTTGGAAAAGTAAGAACTAGACACTTGTGGCATGTTCCAGTATTGAAACCAAATCAAGAGCAATGGCTCATTGATTGTCTGAAGTATTTCAGTTGGAAATTCTTATAAGTGACCTTGTGTAAAATTTGATACACGATTAGAACTTCATAGTGATATAATCAAGTAGTCATCAGTGTTGCCAACAGTCCTTTTCTTGACCCGACCAAACATAATAGAGAAACAGTTTTGTCTGAAGATGAGTGAGTGATATTTGAAGATTCTGTTTTGATCCAGAAAACTGACCTTGTTTTAAAGCCAATGAGAAAAAAAGATGTTTTATGCTCTTTCAAGTGCTGGTTTATCATATGTAGCCACATTTAAATGTATTTGATTCCGAGCATAAATGAAAAATACAAAGTAGGAAAATACATCCAGTAGCTGCACATTCAGAACCCCAATTTGAATCTTGTATTTTTATGAAACATAATATCAAAGTGCAAGAGGAAAATATGTTTTCAAACTAGAAATTGAAGTACATATTGCTGGTTTTCCTTTGGAAACAAGAAATACACATTCAGAATCCCTATTTAATCAGTCATTCCGCCAGTTGATGCTTTGTCTTCTCTAGGTAATTGATGAGAATGGTTCGAAATATTGGTATCGGATGGAATATTAGAAAGACAATCTTACATGTCTGTCTGTTGGTAATTTAGTCTGGTTAGCATTTTATTTTGGGGCAATATCAATGATTGGTAGGGCATGATACAGGAAGAACGTTGACCCATTAACAACTACCCCCTCCCCCACCCAGGTGTGAACTTTGGTGAATACAGCTAATTGGTTATTACTTTTATGATACTGGTTAATTCGTTATAGCTTCTTGGTTTTTCTGTTGTCCCGCCTTTCAGGTGTCATAGTTTCCTTTACTTTTCACCTGTAATTTTACGGCTAATAAATAGGATACTAATGCTTTGTCTAAAATGAGATGTGCACTGGCACGGTTATGTCAAATTCTATATTCTTGTTGCTTACCATGTCGTATTGTCATTTGTTCTGAAAATGCAGGTTTTTTTTTTGGAGCTCAAAGGTAAGCGCTGCATTGCATCTGCCGACGGTAGTAATATAAAATGAAGTTTGAATTAATTACCCAAAAAAACACAGTTTGAATTATATTCTGTACTCCATTTCCTATGTAATATATGCATGGACATGTGAACTTGAAGCCTGATAGATCTCCAGTTCAGTTTGACCTGAAGTGTTGTACTGATCTATTACTTCGCAAGGATATTAGCACTCTCCTGTGTTTTGTTTCACTACCTAGTTTTTACATGGTAGGTTTTGCATTCACACTATGTTTTGCTTGATTTTGCTGCCTGTTAATTCCATCGTGGTGAACTAAGAATAAGGTTCATAATATGGTTATCTCCTATTGGGAATGTTGGATATAGACACGGATAAAAGAGGGGAGAGGACCAAGAAATTTTACTTGTACAGGAAGTAGCAAATTTAACCAATCAATAGGCCACTGAGATACAACTTTTGGGACTGTAATTGTTCATGCTATTGTTGCTATGGGAAATGAGTCTCTCTCCTAAAATCAACAATCACAAATGCACCAAGGTCGGTCTGAAGTGTTCAATTGGAGATGCATGATTTTCTTCGTATCACGTTCAATAATGTGAAAGATTCAACTATCTTGCCATCTTCAAGCCTTCAAAGAAGGTCTGTGCTTTAGCCATTTCAGCAAAGAAAGATTCAAAGGGGGTAGCTTGAGTAAAGACGAAGCCACTTTGCTCATCTTGGATGATGACTTGCTCTTGCATGACGAGCACCCGTGGTATCATCCACATTTTACAAACCCATTTGCCAGCTTAGTTCTCCCATATGGGTACTGCAACAAAACTAGTTGGGTCTGCAACAAAACTAGTTGGGCTCGGACATGATTCTAGGTCCATGGGCTTGGTCTCAAGCCCAAATCAGCAAGACCAGCTTGTCTAAGTTCGGCTTGAGATTTCTCAAAAAAGTACGACTCGAGTCCAAACCTGACCCAAGTTTATTTTATATAATAAAAATTCTCTCTCTCTCTCTCTCTCTCTCTCTCTCTCTCTCTCTCTCTCTCTTTTTGTGCTCTTTGAATCGTCCCTTCTACTATTCTACAATTATATTTAGGGTAAAATATAAAAGCCTCCCCTGAAATTTCTAACCATCATAAAAACATCCCCTATAGTTTCATTGTAACAAATAGTTCCCCCGAACTTTTGAGAAACTCAACAAAAACCTCCCTTCGATCACTGACGTAGACATAAAACGTTAACTGGTGCATAATTTTTGTAAGTATCAATTTTACCCTTTTATTACTGATCCAAACGGAAAATGTCACTGACCAGCCATGTGGCAATGGCATTGGCGCCATTGCTTCTGCCGTGATCAAGGCAGGTCTTTGCGTTATTCCTTCTCATTGGCTAGGTCAGACTCAGACCTAGATTTGTTTCTTCCTCGTCGGACCAGCCGGAAAACCTAACCACTTCTTCGTTGGCTTGTCCAAGCCCGAAAAGAAAATGCTCGCCTATCGTCTCTCTGCCATTATAAACGTCGTCAATGATTGCAAGCTTCCTCTTGAACTCCACTGCCGAGAGAACAAATCTACATCCTCGTTTCCTTTCTCACGTCCACACTACCTTGTTTCTCTGTGCATTTGTTTTATTCTCCTGGGTTGAGTAAACATAGGAACTGATGTCTCACCCAACGGCTAACTAGTTGAATCCGTACTCACCCACGCTTTATTACAAGAACACTAAGGAAGGAGAGAAATATGTGAAACACAAACTCCACAAGTTCCTCTGTATGCATCTGCCTGAGGTCATGCTCGCCATAAATAGTTTCTTCTCTTCTACAGACTAAATAGACTAAAGCAGTAAAGCACAAGAACAATTTGATAGTTCATATGAATCAATTTATGTTTTTATTGACTTAAAAGTAATGGGCCTGTATCATTATTGTTTTTCCAACTTTGAAAGATAATGGAGTAAGGAAGATGCTAAAACTGCAACTATGGCTTCAAAGTCCAAACCATATAATTCTTTCCTAGCCACTATCTCAATTCCTTTGAACACTAAAGAGAATTTTGAATGTTTATACAACGCCTAGGTAAGCAGTTTCCTAGGGCCCAAACAGTTTATACAGCTACATCAGATTCATTGTTTGGTGAGTATTGGCGTCTTTGTTCCTGATACAAGTTTTAAGTTTTAGATTTGAAGTCTAGAGTAAAGATGATGCTTTTGTTATAACTTTGCCCTGTGATCTCTAACAAGAGACAAAGAGCCATCTTCTAGTTTGTCAAGTCACCATTTTACTGGGGATATACACCATATCTCGTCTATTTTTTGGGTTTTTTGCTCATAAAATCTCCTTTGCACAGCAAACTAGTCAAATTCATGGTTTCAAAACCGGATTGGACTGAATGGTTGGACCGGAAAAACTGGGAACCGGTGAGGTGACCGGTTCCGTTTTCCCCAAAACTGTTGATTTTGGTCAGCGAACCACTGAACCGAGCAATTAACTGTTCGAACGGTTTTGACCATTTTTTATTTTTTTTGTTAGAACAGATTGAGCGTTTGGTTCGAATGGTCGGACTGTTCGACCTGGTAACTGGACCCCTGACCGATTCAGTCACCAGGTCGGTTTTAAAAACAATGGTTAAATTAGCCATTGGGTTTAGTATTGATTACAATGACTAACTAATCAGTTCCCGTTGACTTTATCAATTATCATCAAAGCCCTAATCGCCTTTTTGAAGTTCCAAAACACATACGAAGCAAAATTGCTAAGCAGCGGTTAGCCTTGAAGAAAGCATAGGCTAACAGATTAAATGGAGATGATGCCAAATGGATTGAAGATTCTGAAATTCTGAAAGTGCAGATGCATGACATCAACGATAAAGGTATTCTGAAATACCTTTTGGACGTCAAATGTTTGGGCTTAAGTGGGAGAAAGAATTCATTCAAATGAAAATGAACGAATTCAGCTAAGGATCTCCTCTTTCATTAGAATGAGAGTGGTTTAATGGCCATGGTTGTTGCTAGCTCATGCTTATTCGTTAGCGGAAATGAGGGAATTGGGAGATGTTGCTCAGGGCAAATTTGGTATTTTATGATTTTTTTTAAATGATGCCTTAAGGGTAATTTTGTAAATGTATACATTTTTCGTCTAGGTCAATGATGAAAGGGAGGTTTTGTTGAGTTTCTTAAAAGTTTAGGGGAGGTATTTATTATAATGAAACTATAGGGGATGTTTTTATGATTGTCAAAAACTTCATTGGAGGTTTTTGTATTTTTAATATAGATTCCCTTCTATAGGATTTAAATTGAATCTGGAGTAGAACCCACTAGGGATAGCTTGTATCTAGATCTAAAGGCATTCTTTTTCAATTTTTATGCACTACACTTGATTTCTCTACTTTTGGGAAAAGATTTGTGAATGTGATTACTGATCTAGTTATTTATTTATTTTTTTTATGTTGAACAGAGGTTTTCAGTGTCCATCAATGTTAAATAGGGATTGCTTTGCTTGCCAATTTCAATTTTCAGGTTGGGCTTTAGGCTTTTATGAGGGTCAAGCAGGCCCAAGTTGATGGCCCGATGGTTGAGCCGATCTGGGCTCGAGCTCAAGCCTAACCATGTTTTGTTAATAAAGAGTGAAATCCTGGGCTAGCCCATGAATAGGTCTACTAGGTACCTAGCCTAAGTCTACTCGACCCAATCAGGTTGGGGACAAAGACTATCTTGACGGGAATGGGTATATATATATATATATATATATATTAAAATTTTTCTTTATTTTGAGTAAATACTTTTTTCCAAAAAGCTTTTAATTAAAAAGATTCAAGGATTTGGGTCCCTGATGGGAAAACCTACCTTAGTCTGGGATTAAGGGTGGAGGTTAACTTTTCTCCCCAACAAGGATTAAGGTTGGGGACGAGGTTGGGGAGTATGGTTCCTACCATTCCTATACTTAAGAATCTAGAACATGTAAATATCATATAATAACATTACTAAACAATATTATCAAAGAATGTTTGAACTTCCAATCTACTAAAAATTATTTACACCACATCAAATTGTCATTAGGTCAGTGAGTTTGATAGATCATTGATAGATCCATCATCCATCTTATAGTTATCTCTTACCATGAAAATCTTTTAGAATATAATTAAAATCTTTTTTTCAAATTGTTGGTGTTTTCCTAAAAAATTAAGAAAGAAATTCATTTTTTACATAAATTATACTTGTATCAATAGGCTTAATAGATCACTAACAGATCAATATTATAGTTCTTTACTAGGACGAAAATCATTTATAGTATATACAAAAATTATTTTTTATATTCTTTGGATTTTTCCTATTTTTTGAAAAAAAAATCCATATATTTAACAAGTTTGCACCACTGGTGTAATTGGGTATACTTTGGTGGTCCAAACTATTGAGAAATAAATTGATCCATCCACAACTTATGTCAAAAAAAAATGTTTTTTCGTAATTTTTTGATAACTTGGAGAAATAAAAATAGAATAACTATTTTAATTAAAATTTATGCATTGCATATGATATGATATGTATCTTATAAATTCTAATGGATCTATTTTTTTTTTAAATTAACATTTATATATTTTTGTGAATTGTTAATTAATGTTTTGGTAAACCCCAAATATTCTCGATGGGGTGGGGGGGATGGCCACCATTAAGTTTTATTAAATTTCAAAAGAAAAAACATAGTGGGGGATACTATGTTCATTAATAATGTTATTATATGATATCTACATTTCATAGATTTTGGTATTCTAATCTATTTTTCATATAAGTTATAGAAGTATGTTTTCTTATCCATTTGTTGATTTTTATTTCAACCTTAGATTTAGTGTTATTAATGTATTTGTCAAAGTTTCTCTAATATATCCGAGTATATTCATATATTTCCACTATATTTATGTATATTGAAAACGTTTTGTGATACATATCCATTCGCAATCGCAACAGTACAATATACAATACTAAGATTTTGAACCTTGAGTGGACCAAAAAGGGTAGTTGAGTGATAAGTCATCTAGTTATATATACTTGGTAAGGTTTTAGTTACAAAGTTCATCGAGTAAAAGTAGATCCATTTATATTTAAACATATCCCATATAGATATTTGTGAGATAAAAGGGTTGGATTTGGTTTGACCTTATATCAAATGGACTAGACATGGGTCCTATTTATGGATTCACTTAAATACGAATCCAGATTTGTTTAGGTAGCAAGGCTAAGAGGCTAAGATGGTGTTTGATAATACTTTTTAGACATTCAAAGTCTAAAAATGTTGCTTTTCAGATGTCAGATGTGTTTGGAAGTGTATCTAAATTTGGGTCTGAAAATCATTTTCACATTTGAAATAATAAAACATGGGTCAGGCACGTCCAGATGCATTTTAGACCTAGCCAAAATTCCCAAATACCCTTGAACTCTCGCCTCTCTCTCCTTCTCTCTCTCTCTCTCTCTCCTTTTTTCTTCTTCTTCTCTCGCCACTGCAACTCCTCCGACAAACTAGTGTCGACGGGTTCTAACCTTCTCTCTCTCTCTCTCTCTCTCTCTCTCTCTCTTCTTCTTCTTCTTCTTCTTCTTCTTCTTCTTCTTTTCCTCCTCTCGCTGTTGCAACCGAATAGTCTAATTTAGGGGTAAAATAGTAAAATTAGTGAATTTCATATGTTGAAGGTTTGATCCAACACAAACAACCTTCTTTATTCATAGCTTCTAAAAAGTCAAAAAACAACTATCTCTTTTCAGATTTCAGACCCCTTTAATATCTTTTTAACTTTTCAGATTTATCAAATGCCACCTAAAACTTCATACATCTCGACTCAAACTTTGTTGAATGTCAAAATTCATTTATAACATTGTTTTGTATCATGTGTTTATACTAATATAAAGTTGATGCTTACCTTGATTTCTGTGTAAGGTCATAAAAGTTAAATTTGATTATTTAAAATAAATTTAGGGTATGTTTGATTATCAGGAATAGGGACGCAAATGGATTGGGTCGGATTAGAATCAAGGTATATCCAAATCCAATCTAATATTACGAACAATAGATCCGATTTGATATGAAGATCCGATCTCACAAACATTGATTTGAATTCTAATCCAATGAGAAAGTTGGATATTTGGATCTGATCCAATCTGATTTAATTTAAAAAAATTATTAAAAGAAAAATAAAATATAACAATTTAAATAAAAAACAAAAAAAATACAAGTATCTTTTCAACTATTTTCATCATATATACATATTTTTTATAAAAATAAACAAATAATATAATAAATTTACAAAAATACAATATAAATAAATAAATAACACACACATAGGACCGAATTCTCTAGGATGAGTGATCCAAATTCAACCCAAGTTCTAATTAAAACCTATTATCTAATCCGATCTGAAAATATGAAATGGGGATATCCGAATCCAACAAAATAGAATCAGACTTTGGATCGGATTGAATCATGATTCCATCCCAACTGATTCTAAATACGGGAATATACCATTCCGGTTTTGATTTTGATTCCGATTTCAATTCTAATTTCAACTGCACACCCTTATGTCTTTATCTTTTAATTGCACACGTGCTATGCCTTTAAACTAGTTTTTAATAATTAAAAAAAGCATCAAAATGAGGCTACTCAAACTTGCCACAACCATTTCATGCCTTTTTTTAATAGAAAACTTCCTTACTGATATATTTTTATGAGGAAACTGTGATTCTGATCATACGGGACAATTTAGGAAAAGCTTAGGGTTTCCTGTGCATGGCAAAACTCTTTTTGCCAAACAGACAAACTTTTTTGTGAGTACATGGCACGTGTCAGTTATGACGTAAGTGTCGGAGTTTTCATTTTTTTACTTAGGTTATTGAAACATCCTCTGAAGTTTTAGACTGTTGTTACAAACTTCTCTTGAAATTAAATAATTGCAATTACCTCCCCTAACTTTTTTTAACATTGTTGCATGACCCCTTTTGTTATAATCCTCTAAAAATAAGACATAAAAATGTCAAAAATACCCATATAATTAGTATTGACTGGTTTTTAGAGAAAAACAATAAATAATAAAAAGAAAATTTAAAATTGCAATTGGGGAAATTTGAAAAATAAACATTAATTACATGAATATTTTGAACATTTTTATAGGATTCTAAAAGAGGTCTATGTACAATTATATTAAAAAAATGTAGAAGAATGATTAAAATTAGCAAATTTCAAGGGAAGTTTTAACAACAATCAGAAACTTGAGAGGTGGTTTCAGCAATTTACCATTTGTTTCTTCATGGTTTGAGAGTGTCTGTAGGGCGAAAAAAAACCAAGAATTGTTAACAGTCGTTGATTTGCAGCGCTGGTGAGTATATACAATTTACCACCACGAAGAGAAGAAAAAGTACGGATAAAGCCCCATAAATGGAAAGTCGAAGGCTTGGATTAAAGAAACCATCGTTATGAGCAGCTCATTTGCTTTGAGTTTGAGGGTTCAGCTCTCTCTCAATCTTCAACTCTAAGGCCTAAAGCCTACTCTCATCTCTCTCTCTCTCTCTCTCTCTCTCTCTCTCTCTCTCTCTCCTCTTATCCTTTTCTATCACTCTCTCTCTCATCACGTGCTGGATCTGGGCATCTCAGATCGGATCCATCCATCTCTACTCCCTTTGTTGCCCTAATCTTAAGCGACGCCTCTGCACGCCCAACTCTGTGTTTAAGTTGCTTCTTAATTTGATCGAAATCTAGGAATCTATCGGGCATACAGAGCAGCCGCCATGGAAGCGGCAACACGAGATTCGAGCCAACTACCGGTGGCTGCAGAGGAAGAGTCCCTCAAGAAGAATACAGATTGTGTTTATTTCCTGGCATCTCCTTTGACCTGTAAGAAGGTGCGAGTTTTATTCTAATCTTGACTTCTTTTGCTAGGGTTTTTGGGGTTTCTTGAGTTTCCTTGATTGAATCTTTATTTGTTTCTTTGAGGAAAAAGTGAAGAACTAGCTTGATGCACATGTCTATTTCGAATGTTGATCAGTGAAATTGGGTGTTGCTTTGTTTGAATTTCATTTTCTAGTTATTGGATTTTAAGATTAATGTGTTCGATTGAGCATTTTTGGCACTGGTAATTTGGATGAGGTGTTCAGAGAGATGCTTTCATTGATTTGTAGTTTGATGAGTAGCACTTGTCAGGAATTGAAGGAATTAGGTTTGATACCCTTCTGTTCTCTTCCTTTGAGAACATAGAGACTGTAGTCGGCCAAATCAGCTGATGGATGAATTTAAAATCACATCGATGAGACCGAAGCAGCTTGCCTGACTACTGGAGCTTTTGAATCTCGCCTGGTGGATGCTTGCAGTTGGAGCCTAGTATAAATTGCTAGAATAATCCAGGAATCGATTATTCTAGCTATGTCCAGGACAGGTGTCCTGGAAGGAAGAATCAGTTATCTTTTTTTTTTTTTTTTTACATTTCCTTTATGTTCTCTGTCAGTGTCACACACTTTTTAGCATCGTGAAGTAGTAGAAAAAACTCTAGCTTTTTTCCATGCATCACGAAGTGACAATTAGCATTGGAGGTATAATCTATTATGTTGAAAAACAAAGATGTGCACTTCCTGTTGCAGATTCAGGACATTATCCTGGAAATGGCTAGAATAATAATGGGAGTTGAGTCTAAATCACTATATTCAAATTCCAGGGGCAATTTTTGGGAGACAATTGCCTCAAAGACGCTAAGGACAGTTGAGAGGCAACCCAAGGTGTTTGGAGTATGACACACTTATAAGGCATAACATAACCATCATTTAAATGCATTCCTTTCTTCACGCCTCAAGTTCGAGGCTTGAACTTCATGGAAATGTCGTTATATTATTTAAATTTGAGGAAATATGAAATGGGAAACATGAACATTATGTTTGTTTTGTTCTCAGCCATGAAGTCCAACCATTGTTTTTGTAAGTGAACTTTAGTTGCCTTTACAAAACGCAAAAAATGAGCCATAATATTTTTTTTTTGATGAATGAGCCATTATTTTGAAATACAAAATAAAATAATCACCATTTCTGTTTGTATCCATTGTCCCCCCCCCCCTACTTTCTCTGCGACCAACAAATATTGTATATGGTTATTTATTACAAAAAAAGGGTGTACTCATGATGTTTATGACTCGTGACATTCTCTTGAGATGTAGGAGGGGAGGCTCTAAGTATCAATCAATGTAAGACCAGCACAATCCAAGACTGGTGATTAGGAAGCTTATTTAAGGTTATAAGGCTGTATAATTTGATTAGGAAGTTAATTTAGGACTGAAAATTCCAGAGAGAGGAAACTGAAAATCATTGTCTCAAGATTGGAACAGAGTTTCTTCAATTTGTTTAAAAGGAGTCTTTAGGGTTCTAAGTTAGGTGATTTAATATGGAGGGCTTCTGAGATGGTTCTACAGAAAAGGATGAGAGTTCCCAAATTTAGTAACTTTTGAAAACTAGGGTTTTTAGAGGAAATTTTTGAAAACTATTTTAATGGGATAAAAAAGGATCTAAGATATGGGGGATGGTTGAATCAAACCTAGTTTTCACCAAGGTTTTCTAGGATGAGATAAAGAAGTTTCTCTCTCTAGAGAAAGTGTGTGAAAGTTAAGAATGTGAAAGAAAATGAGAGAATCAATTCAGTCCTGCCTTTTGATCGTTTCTTTTTTTTTTCAAGGTTTTTGATGGTTGGTGTCTGGAAGGAGGGAGGGTAGGAGTTCCAGCAACTTCAAATGTATAGATAAAATTCTCTAGCATCAGCTAAACTCCTAAACCAAGAAGACTCAAAGTTATGGTTCTGCCATGCTTACTCCAACTTACAGGAAACTAAATTACTAGGGGATTACTTCAAGGGATGTGGATCTCTGGAATTGTACACAATTATGAATTGGCTGGTGTAGCAGAGGCTGCCCAATTATTGTAAACCTAAATTTGTTATACTAAACCAATAAATGTGAATGGTTACCTATCAAAACAAATAAATAAATAAATAACTGGTAAACTAATTAGCTAATGATTGGCTGGAGCCTACATACTAGGTGTAAAATTACCAAAATACCCCAATTGTCCAGAAATATAAAAATACATGAAAATCCATTGTTCACATAATAAACAATCCTTTTTGGTATACTATAATAGTTGTTCTTATTTGCAAGAGATCTTTTAGATGAATAATAGGAATTTTATTAAAGATCAATAGTGAAAGATACACAATAGAGGCTTCCCAAACAGAGGCACGAGATTCAGCCTCAGAACAAAAGAAAAATTACAAATGAGCCCAAAATAAATGATTTTTTTTTTTGATAAAATGAAGTAGTTTTATTAGAAAGTGGATAAAATCAGGTACAAGTTTCTCATGGAGAGGCGCAAGCTGCAACCTCCCCACACAATCAAAACCAAAAACAGATTTCAGCTGTGCCCAATACAAGTGTTCCCTACTTGTTCCCTGCTTCGCCAATACCAGCCATGGCATTTGCTGATCTCCCCACCCCTTGCGCAGCTAAAAAGTCTGCCATCCCATTAGCCGACCTCCTTTCCCATTGAACCGTAACTGTCATGTTTGTAGTCATCCATTTAAATCTTCTCATAGTTTCCCTATAGGACCAAGTTACTGTCTCTGGTTCCTTCAGCCACCAAATTAACACTTTAAAATCACCTTCAATTAGAAATCTCTCAAAGTTCAGCTCTCTAGCAATCTGTACCCCCTGTAGCAAAGCTTGGAATTCTGCATTTATAGAATCCCCCACTCCAATAGGACCAGAGAAAAAGGCAAGAGTATGACCTGTGTTCCTGAAGGCCCCCGCCCCCCCCTCCCCTTCAAATTCCAGACGGCCCAGGATTACCTAAACTACTGCCATCAAATTTTAATTTTATAAGACCTTCCCCAGGGGGCCTCCAGACTGCACTAGGTTTTTCATTCATGTTAGAGCTTTTTGGTACCAGTTCCCAATTCCTCCGTATGTCATCAAAGGAGAAGTGTGAGAACAAGTCCAAGTAAAACCATTCCTTTAGAGGGAACATGAAAAGGCCTTCAAAGCTGCACCTGAGTTCTTATGAACTCATGAAGTAGCACAGCCCTTCAGCCCAGTTGACATTATGTGGAGCAGATTTGACATCAGATCTCTCCAGCCAATTGATGAAGGAAAAAGAGGTTTAAAAAATGGAGCAAATTTGACATTATGTGGTTGGTTGTAGTCATAATTTCTCACAAGACCTTGTTATTTATTTATTTACGTTGGAAGAAATCTTTGCATTTTCCTTGTATGTGACAAAATGTTTAACTTTTTAAGAGTTCATGTCATGCATATATTATTATCAATACTGCTTGTTGTTGGCTTGGGATTAATTAGACTCCTAAGAAGTTGTTATCTTTTTCTCCATTAAACAGGGAAGTGAATGTGAATACCGCCATAGTGAACCTGCCAGGATTAACCCCAGAGATTGCTGGTTCTGGCTGAATGGCAACTGTCTGAATCCAAAATGTTCATTCCGGCATCCAGTGAGTGTCTTTCTGTTGGGTTTTCCTTGTGGCTGTTAAGATTGATTGATAATGTCCTTCCATTAAATTTTCTTGCTTGTGAGATGGAAGGAGAAAGACAGCCAATGCTTTGAATCTTATGGTTTTATTTTTTTAAATTACATTTGATAGTTAATATTATCAGATCTTCAGTTCTTAATGTATCTATTTATCTTTCTCTCTCCAGCCTCTGGATGGCTTTTTAGGAACCCAAGGGGCATCTTCTGTGGGATCATCTCTATCTCCACAGGCTGGGATATCAACACAAATGCCTCCAGCCTTCACTGCTCCTGCTCATGGTTCTGGTAAACAACCCACTCCTTGCTTTTTCTTCCAGAAAGGACTTTGTTTAAAGGGTGACAGATGCCCCTTCATGCATGGACCACAGCCACTAGCACCAAAAGTTGCTCCTACTGTTACTGAACCTCAAATTTCCAAGAAAACCTCTTTTGGGGGCCTTGAGAAGTGCACTACTCAACAGCAGAACATCCCGAAACAAAATACCATAAACCAAATTGAAGTACCTCCACCAGAAAAATCAGTTATGAAGACTGAAACTGCACTGCCAAAAAACGGTATTGCAGCTAAGAAAAATGTACAGTCAGATGATGAACAACTTAGATACAAACCAGCAAATATCCCTGCCTTCAGTGGAAGTTCTGTAAGTAGACCAGTAAATGCTCCTGGCACCGGTGGAAATTCTTTAAGTAGGCCAGCAAATGCTCCTGGAGCCAGTGGAAATTCTGTAAGTAGGCCTCACTGTAGTCGTCAAGCTCAAGTTTTGGATGATCGTAGTTTTCAGAATGGTAAAGAAGGTGATGAAATCTTGGGTGAATCATCACCTGGCTTTGATGTTCTGGTAGACAATGAACTCAGAAATTCTCATTACTACCAAAATGTGGACGAATATGGAAGCGCGACAGACCATGATGGAAGGAATTTGAACTCTGCTGGTGAATTTGATTATGGCTGTTCTGTTGATTACGATTCAGTGAATAAATTTGACCAAGAACCATACATTGATTCACGTGGGTATGATCCATATGGACGGGCTCAAGATCATTATCCTTGGGAGCAGCATAGGGCTTCATCGGTTTCAGAAAGGCTATCTCTACCAGACAAGAGGGGGTACCCAAGAGGTAAGAGTCCCGATCAGATTGGTGAGTCAGATCTGCGCCATCGGCTATCAAAGCAAAGGAGGCTTAATGGATCCAGATCTATTATTAGCTCTAATTGTCGTGATGATGGCCACCGGAGAAATGACCATGAGCATCATTTCGAGGATCAAAGAAACCAGGACCGATCTTGGAGAGAGACAAGCAATTTGCCTCGAGAAAATTCCATAAGTAATCGGCTACAAGGTAGAATTACACTTCCTGGTAGGTCTTCTTCACCGGACAGCAATAATAGTAGCTTGCGTCCTGAAAGGGAAATGAACAGGGGACGAAGCTGGGGTAGATCATCACCACCAGGCAGGGGACCAATATCATCCTATCAGGGAAGACACCAAGACAGAATAAAACGGAGGGGCCAAGAGGACGATAACATTGAAGGGAGAAACTTTAGGGCTCCTCTTGCCAGAAGAGATGACATAGTTAGCACTTTAGATTTTGCTGGTCCAAAAAGCCTTGCAGAGCTGAAAGGTTCAAAGCATTTGGAGAGCACTGAAGACCAGGAAAAAGACCAGGAAACCAAAGCTCGTCAAGTATTTCCCTGCAGGGAGCAGCAAAACTCTAAGATTGGAAAACTTGTTGCTCAAGAATCTGAAGATTCACTTTCCTTTGAGGGTCCCAAACCTCTGAGTGTACTTCTGAAGAGGAAAAGAGAAGCAGAAACAACTTCTGGAAATATCAAGATTTCTGATATTGGAGAGGAAAGCAGTCCAAGGAGTGAAAACTTTATGGGTGGTTCCAGGATGACAGCAATTACTGAGACACAGAGTGATCTTCCTTCTGAGCGCAAGAAAGAAGACGATGAAAATATTGTCAGCAATCAGGAAAAATCCAAATCTTCAGCTGCCACAGTTGAGGATGATGAAGAGGGTCAGATCTTCCCGGAAGACAATGAGGTGGCTCATGAAGATGAACCTTATGCTCAAGATGGAACTGAGTTTGAAGCTGAGGATGCAACAATGTTGGATGATACATTCGAAGATCAAGAGCTTGAAACCTTTGATCAGAGAGGTGGAGAGTCTGATTATGAGCAGACTGGTGGTCAGGATAAAACAGAGGACGAAAATTTAGACCCAGAAGAATACTTGGACGATGAAGATGGGGATGACTTCGCAAAGAGGATTGGTGTTATGTTCTCCTGAAGAAGGGTGAGATGAAAGTTACTGCTCACAATCGCAGCCAGTGCAGAAGACTTGGTAGCATTGTTTTTATTTAAACTATAAATGGCTCTTCGAAATGAGCTGATGTAGCTTTCACCTATAGGTTTTCTGCTTTAACTGAAGGAAGCCTTGTTCTTGTATTAATGGAACTCGTTTCAGTGTATGTAAGGTTGAATGAAAATTTCTTTCTGCCCCCTCATAAGAGTTAAATTTGCTTCCTTGTTGAGTTAAAAACTCGGAGAGCTTACAATGGAACATTACAATTTATGTGTTTCTTGGCAACAAGTATGTTATGGCAGAGTACGAGTAAGGATGCAATTTGGGCGGGTCCAACTCGAGCTTTTGCACTTGGGCTTGTGTTTTAGGGCTTTAGGTTGGACTTGGGCCTGACCTGAACTTGGGTTGAGGCCTTGGGCCCTACACAAGTCTGACCTGGTCCAGCTTGAGCCTGACCCAACCTGAGTATGCCCACTCAACATTTTATGATATATATATATATATATATCTATGTATATTTATATGATTAGTTTAAATTTACCCCATCACCCATGTACAAATATATATACACATGTTTACGTAATTTATTCATGTTAAAATATTTTTTACTTGTATATCTACATCCATGCATAAATTATATTCACGCGCATCTATTAATAATATAAATCCAACCAACCTGCCTAAACACGGCCGGAGCCCAAGACTAGCCTGAGATGTATTGGGTTGAGATCGGGTTGGGTCTAGGTTGATAAATTTAGGCTTGATCTCTCATATTAGGTTAGGCCCAAGCCTGAGGTTTGAGACTTAGGGTTGGGCCTGGGTTGACCCTCAACCCAACCCAATCTACCCAAGTTGCACCCCTAGTAAAGAGTATGCAATTTTTAAATATGTATTGTATTTATTAACATATGCATTAGTACAATATGCAAGGTGTGATATATTGATATAACATATCGAATTGGAAAGTTTGGATACAGACATAGATACACTTTAAATATGCATGGATATAATGGAGAGGTATGGATACATCAAGGAATCTCTTACGAATTTCATAAATATATTACATTATAAACAATGTTTGATCTTCTAATCTACTTAAAATTCATTACAATAATTGTTTTCTAATTCTTGCTTTTCTCCTAAAAAATTAAGAAAACAATCGTTTTTTTACATAATTTATTCTTAGATTAACAAGTATAATGTATAATTGATGGACTCAAATTATAGTTCTTTCCTACAATAAAATTATTTATAGCATATACTTTTTATAATTTTTTAACTTTTAGCAACGGTCATAATCACTGTAGTCCATGGATCCTGAATGGCTTCGTGCCATTCCTGTGCCACACTGCCATGTACCCATGCCTTCAGATGCTGATACGATACACCATGGGTTTATTAGGTGTATCACCCTATATCTAGCAAGTGAAACTGATTTTCATCTTGAAAAAAATATTTCCTCAATTCAATATATTTTTCGGAAAAGTGTGGACAGGCTTAATTCAGATTTATGAATTCTATTGCAACCTATAAACATTTAAAATGTCAAATAGTCCATTCTATATACTAATGTCCACCCGTAAATTAACATCAATTCCGAGTTGGCACCTACCCCAACTGTACTTTAGGTTTAAAAATTCTAATCCTGGGCTGAACCATCATTCTTCTTATATATATTTTTTTTATTGATAGATAATATATTCACATGGGATATATGTTATGAAACCCATGTCCTGATGTCCATAACCCTTGTTTCTCATTTCGTATTTCAATTTCCAAAGGCAGTGTTTGGATAAGCTTTGGCTTTTGAACTTTTCTAAGCCCAAAGTCAAGTTATTCAGCCTTTCTACTTTGGATTTTTGGCTTATTGCCTATATAACTGATGAAGGGAAATATGGCCCAACCTCGCGATCGCCCGACACGTGGCAAAGGCAAGCAGCTCGGGACAGTAGAGCGCCCAACGAACATCGGAAGTAAGTCCAAGCTCACTACCAAGCCCGAACTCCAGACCGCTGTACTTAGTCTGAGCTCCTTGTTAAGAGCGAGCTCCCTGTTAAAGGTCCGAGCTCCCTACCAGGTGCCCGAGCTCCCTGTTAAGAGCGAGCTCCCTGTTAAAGGTCCGAGCTCCCTAAAAATCCGAGCTCCCTATTAAGAACAAGCTCCCTACTGGGAGTCCGAGCTCCCTATTAAGAGCGAGCT